GCTTTTATCTCTTATTTGCGTAATAGTCTAATGTCGTTATATTTTGTAAAGCCTGGGATATCCCTAACGTCTGCTTGTTACACAATAAAAGAGTGTTATTTCTTAGACGTCCGAAAACGAGGAAAAAAAAACTAAGTTCTATCTTTTGATAAGAAAGTAATTAACTGTCGGCACATTTCTTTTTTCTAAATGAATCTCTTTTGTGAAGAGTTCAACTGAGTGTTGGGTGGAGTCAACTGGAAAATCAGAGAGATAACGCCATTGGAAGAGATAAGCGGTTAACTGTGTCTGCTGGCTGGCAATTCTTGTGACTCAGGCATAACAAAAAACCATTTTACAAGATGTCAAAAGCACACTTGTTGGTTCGCCTGACGAAAGAAAGGAATACAGGTTCGATTTCTACCGACTAACACATATTCTTTGGGCGCGTTTCTTCATCTCTGGGTCAGGTTGATGCTAATTTAACTGCTTAAAAATCACGATTGTTACCTCTTTAACAGTAAATATTAACATTGTTGGTAGACCCCGAAATGTCTCATTTGACAGATGTGTTAAATACGGTAGCTGATGCTTGCTTTCATATCATAAGGCACACTTAGCTTAAAAGATTGTTCTAGGTCCACGTGCCATGCCTCTTCCAGATGCCTCAGTATCAGTTATCACCCTTGATGAATATAGGAAATACGTGTTCGATTCATGTCGGGATGATCATTTTCTTTCATATGATTTCTCAAACTCTAGGTTGGTTGATATTAATTTCACTGTTTAAAAGAACAAGAATATCTATTCAAACACGTCTATCCACTAAATATAACGCCTACAGTAATAAATAAATCGCAATCAATCAATCAATCAATATATATATATATATATATATATATATATATATATATATTATATTTTCCTTTCATAATACCAACAAAAAATTTCTCTGAAGAACATTCCTAATACCAACAAAAGACATAAGGAAAATCTAGACACCTTTGTTCAATTTAAGTAGAATATTCTGCAACCATGGAAACGTGATTTTAGCTGTGTCTTTAAAACCCGGTAATTTTTAAAAAGTTACTCCAAAATTCGCTTGAAGATGAAATGGAACTAATGCTTTTAATTTAATTGCAAAATTAAATTCGGGGTTTTTAGCTTCTATTTTTGAAACATGGTTGGAACTGTGTAGCGAAAAAAAAACATATTTTAAATCAATTAATTTATAATATTAATGCTCTGTAAATTTACATTGAGCACTATTTTGTAAAAATAAAAATATCTATAAGAACACCGGATTTTATATCTTACTGTTCTTTCTTTTTATTTATATACATACATATATATATATATATATATATATATATATAACGTGTTGTAGTGGACTCAGCAATTTTCAATCTTCTTGTCTGAATCATCTGCAAGAAGCGAGAGCAAGATCTAAAAGGTCAACCAATCTAACAGTGATCTCATAATCCTCACACTTGCTCCATATGTGGCATCCTTTGTAAATCACTAGCGGGTCTTAAATGCCACTTAAGATTAGCGTATAAACTTTCATAACTGAATCAATAAGCTGGCAGATCCTCATACGTTGAAACTGACAGGAGAGTCCATTATATATATATATATATATATATATATATATATATATATATATATATATATATTATAGTAAATAATAATAATAATAATAATAATAATATATATATATATGTGTATATATATATATATATATATATATATGTGTGTGTGTGTGTGTGTGTGTGTGTGTGTGTGTGTGTGTGTGTGTGTGTGTGTGTGTGTGTGTGTGTATTATAAAAATAGAAAGAACAGTAAGATATATAATCCGGTGTTCTTATTCATATTTTTTATTTTACAAAACAGTGCTCAATGTAAATTTACAAAGCATAAATATTATAAATTAACTGATTTAAAAATATGGTTCCTTCACAGGAATTACCATGGTAATTCCTGTGTAACAAGGAATCATATTTTTAAATCAGTTATATTATAATATATATATATATATATATATATATATATATATATATATATATATAATTTTTATGAAAAATACTCAACTACAGTAAGGAAATTCATCTCCGATCATACTTCTCTCAAGGGGGGAGAGTGAGGTTTAATCGTTGGCGCCTGAGGCGTTGGCAGCGAGGAAATGCCGAGGTAACTTGAGCAATTGTTGTCCCTGGTTCTATTCTTGCGTGGGATATCCACATTGAATACGGCCTTGTATTAGATTCCGCTCGGGTGGGTGTACAGTTAAAACCAAAATCCCCAAAAAAAAAAAAAAAAACGGACAATCAAACTTTGAGCTTTGTAGATTAAATGGGAGATTATAAATAGAATACTATTCGCGGTGGTGACTTGCTGCTTTGATTAAAGGGACGCGACAGCACGGTTGAAAATATAAGTTATCATAAGACCCAAGAGACATTCAAGATAGAAATTTATTGAATTGTTGTTTTAAGGGCATATATGCAAGGGGAATAAGTGTGTCGTATTATGAAGCTAGCAATTGATCTTGACGTACGCTCCGGACTTGTTCAGGTGATTGGAATTTCGTCCACGGGGGTAGATTGTTCTAGGTCCACGTGCCATGCCTCTTCCGGATGCCTCAGTATCAGTTATCACAACGCGCTGATCCATGGTAACAGTTAAATTGATAACCTGCTGTCATTTAAATACATAGATTAATGCCACACTAAAATAAGTTAAATATTATTTGCATAAAAATTATCACTTACTCACTTTGCGTTATAAAACATTAAATTATCACACTTAGCGCCATCCATAATTTACATAGTCTTTTCAGTTAACCTGATGAATATTTATCAGCGTGTCTTAAATTTTAAATTTTTTGAAAAATATTAATCACGTGCGAAGTAATAATAATAATGATATATATATATATATATATATAACTCATTGCTAACTCACTCATGTCTTCTCTCTCCCCTCTCACTTCCTCACTTCGTTAATTTACATATGTTTAATACGGCCCGTCAAAAATGTGTAAATTTTCTTTTCATTTTTTGTTTGGAAGTATCCGCAGTCCTTTTAAAAGGGCTGTGGTGAAATAATTTATTACATGGAACCTTGAAGTGGTCTGTTTTATTTAAATTATTTGCTCTGGATTTACATTGAGCTCTCTGGATTTTATCCTCCTTAGGTTTACCCATACGGATTACCTAGTTTTTCATAAACTAAATATATATATATATATATATATATATATTTACATTCAACAACATCACTTGATAAGACACCGGGGGTGTTGAAACATAATGGCTATTTTTGTAGTGATTTTATAACATATTTATGTTATAAATTTTTTTAAATAAATAATTATATATATATATATATATATATATATATATATATACAGAAAATATAGTTTTAAGGTGTGCTATATTTATGTGATAAAGTACTGAATATCAGAGATGGAGCGTATCTAAATATAAATATAAAAGTGAACACTGAAGTCAATACTTAGAGGCGATAGGTTGTTTCATGATAGACGCAATCGTCCGGCCGAGAGTGTTGGATTCTTTCTCGACTATTTATATATATGGGTCAGTGGTGCATTTTGGGTAATCCATTCTGGCAGTTATTTTGGCAGGAGTGGCTTGTTTATTTATTTAGGTTAATTTATTTTACTTGTTTATTATTTTCATTTTTTATTCTATATATTTATTTTTTCTTTTCGGTTTTCGATGTTTTATTAATGTTGTAAAAGAATTTGTGGGGATTTCTTTAGGTCGCTTATTTAATAGTTTGTTTTGGTCTGGTAAGATAATGTTATTTCTTCATCCAATTTTTGGATTGATTACCGTTGTTTATTTTGCTATTTTGGCGGGAGACAGTTTTTAATTTGTTTATTATTTTATTTATTTGGATTGATTATTTTTACTTGTTTTTGCTTATTTATGTCTATTTTTATTAATTCTAACTGTTATTTTAGCGGGAGCGACTTGTTAATTTTTTAATAAATTTATTTATTTGGATTAATCTTTACTTATTTTTTCTTATTTATTTGCTTATATTTTATTTTTATATTTTTATTTACTCTATTCGGATTTCAATTTTTGTATCGTTATATAGCAGGAAATGTCGCTTGAAGATGAAGATTTTAAATAAATAATTATAATATATATATATATATATATATATATATATATATATATATATATATATATATATAAATACAGGGATGGTTTTGTAATGATGTTATAATATACTTATGTTTTAATTTTCAATATATATATATAGGAAACTACACTCGTGTCGGAAAACCTTCGGTTTCTTGATTTGCTAATGATCAAATCAATTTCGAAGGAAAACATGGTTTTAAAGAAAAGAAAGAGCTAGGAACATGAACGTCTGTAGAAAATAATCGTACAACATACAGGTCCAAAGCCAAAAAAAAAACCCGATACGAGTAATCAACTAACTAAAAAAGTGCTCAATACAAAAGTAGAGCAGACCTAGTCAAACCTAGAGAGCCAGACAAACCTACCAAGGTTCCACCTAAGTGGATGTTCAGGGAAACCCAGCTTTATTTTCACCTAAGCGTTTAGGTTTGACTATATATATATATATAATCAAATGATCAAATATATATATATATATAAATGTACGTGTAAGTGTACACATACAAATACATACACATATCTTTTGGAGTAAGAAAGACAGTGCTCAATGATAAATAACAGAGCTATTATGTATATATATATATATATTAGTAAAAATACATACGCCAGCACGACTCGGAGATTCATGCGTAATGCAATCTTCAGGTGCTGGCGATTGTGTTTAAGCATGTAACCGACTGTCACCGCTGGGTGTTGATCTCAATGCCTACTTACATATAAGGAATCCATCCCCCTCCCTGAAGTCTCCTGGGTCTTGAGCTGTTATTATTTTCCCCTTCCCAGACAGTAGGGGATTCCATTGTAGTTCTATGGCTTACTACCAGATTCCGAAATTCTACATACCTTTCTCGTCCATCCGTGTTTTCTTTAGAGAATGTCTTCGTGGTTTTATTGCATTGTTCTCCACCTTTGGATCCGAAGCCAATTCTGGAAAATTGGAAAAGAATTTAAAATGAATTCCCCCACTTTGAAATTGATTTGAATCCAGTTCCTTAAATCGTTGTTCGTTGTTAACTACGCCGGAAAAAAAAGTTCCCAAACCGGAAAATAGATTTGAAATACGATAGCTTAATCCAGTGCTTTTTCAGCCCATGGTCCATTTTTCCTTTAAAAAAATGGACCACTCCTACTTTTACTTTTAGGCTGTACAATTTTCACACTAAAATACTCAATGGAATTACAAAGTAGTCTATTTATACTTTAAAATATATTTTAGTAAACAAGGATAAACACAGGTTATCAAAACCAATCTTGATGTCATTCAGTCTTAGTCCATTTAGCTAGTGACTACCTTGATCTTGGTATTTCTGACTGAAGATATAATCAATTTTGATGATGTCATTCAGTCTTACTCCATTCAGCTAGTGACACAATTCTCCATGATTTTCTCTCATTCATTCATATCTGCTCAATGCGTATCCAAATGTAAACAAATGACGTCATACATTATGAAATGGAGAAAGTCCGACAATTATTTAAGACATTTTGTGCTTCAAAACAGTAAAATCGACCTTGAAACGCTCCTCTGTGGCCTAATCGGTTAAGGCACGTCAGGTTATATGACGGTTCAATATAGGATACAGGTTTGATTCCTGTCGGAGGACGAATATTTTCTATGACAATTTCTCGGACATTCAGGCCGGTAACTGTTGTTAATACTGTTTATTATAAAACAGAGCATTTACTTAAATATTTGTATCTATAAAAAGAACGTATAAACATAAAAAATGTCTAAAGTATATATACGATATATTACTATATAAAATAGATTG